TGCACTCAAAGTCAAAATCTTGGCTGATTTCAATGTGCTGTTGGATGTTGTCCGCCATTGCTTCTGTGGTTAACGTCACGTTGTAATCCAACTGCAGTTGAGTTGGACGGCAATTGTAGTTCAAGATGAGCGTTCGATGACGTATACTATCAAGCTCACAAATGGACCAATCAAAGATTAGCGCTGATTTCCAGCTGACGGCGTCCTGTTCTAAGAAACCAGGCCTTAAGAGTTTGAAGTCTGAATTTCGCTATTTAACATTTACGTTCAGACAAAATTCTGTTAAAAAGTTACTTATTCAATTTTGTAGTAACTAAAATCCCTGGTAACTATTATAACTATAGTTATGACAACCATTGTCAACAAGTTACACAAAAACAATTTCCAATTCTAATCACATCCTATCTATACATATCCTCTTAAGTATATTTATTGATAAAAATGTATTGCCAACATTGATGTAATTACTGGTATTTATTATTAAGGGTATAGTACTTTTGTTACTCTAAAACATTTCAAGTTAACAATCCGATGGTCAAAACTACTATAAACGTCTGGTCAGTTTTTTCGAAAAATATGTGTCTTACCAGACATTTATTGAAAACTGTTAGTATTTTATTGGAACTTTTTTATTTTTACTGCGAAACTTTTGAAATATATTCTAGTCTTATTTTTTTATAAGAACTTTTGGAAGATCCTTCTATATTTTAATCACGTGAAAATTTTTCACGGCACCCTGATATGGATTTTTAACTTTTTAGCTGATGGTATGAATAGAACGGAGGCAGTGGCAGCTATATTCATTCAAAAAGCAAAACATGCTAGAAGAGTCTATGCTAAAATTTCTTCAGCAAAGTTTGTAACATCTGGATACGTTCCTGAAGGTCTGTCTTTCTTTTTAAATTTTATTTAACATCATTTTTAACTTGTATAAAATCCTAAATTTTACCAAAATCCCAATATATAAAAAAACCGAATTATTCTATGTATTTAAAAACACAATTGGACACTTTATCTGTTTTTCTTATGTGTCTTGAATTGAAGTAAAAAAGCAACACAAATGTTCGTTTAACATTACTCAAATTTCTATCGTTATCAAATTAATTTTAAGCGATTTTAATTTTCAAGAAATAAATTTTACAAATGATGAAATTTGTCAAACGCAGTGGCAAATATGTTTTAAACTCAGTACATTGTAGTTATGCTTTTAATTAGAAATATGCTGTAAAATTAATGGCAAATCACAGTATTAAGAAGTCATCAGTTAATGGATTTTACTTACTATCGATATGTGCTTTAAGAATTTTGCAAGTTAAAAATGTATCTTTGAAATTTCTAAAAATTTAAAATGAGCCATTTACTCATTAAAAGTAAAACGTAACAAAGAATTTAAAATCTTGAAAAAAAAAACTAAGGCGTGTGACATTTTAAGAATTTGTTATAACGATGTCTTTGAAGCAGAAAGATTAAAACAAGGAAGATTTTATGCATGTATGAAATATATATTTAAGATATAATTTATTAACTAAAGTATAAAAGAACTCTGCATTTAAACAAAAGTTATTCAAAGAAATTGAAATTTTGAAATGTAATTTCGAATGCGTGGACAGCATTGATTAAAGAGTACAAAATTGAAACATCGAAACATTTTGCTTTGTAATCATCAAATCCGATAAATTTTGTTTTGTAGGCATATCTGTACCATCTCAGAAAATGCAAATCCAGCTATCCCAGGAAATTTTGTCGGAGAATGGTTTGAAACCGGATGATATAGACTACTTTGAAGGTCATGGTACCGGATCACATGTTGGTGATCCTATTGAATTGAATGCTATTGCCCAAGTGTATTGCAAAAACGGAAGGAAGAGACCTATGTATGTTGGATCAGTAAAAAGCAATATTGGACATACAGAAGCTTGTGCTGGTGCGTAGAATAACTTTATTATGTATCTTAAAACCTGGTTTCTTAGGACAAGCGCCTTATCTGGGCGTCAGCGTTAAGTTGACGTTACCCTGACGCCAACAAAATACTGGTTTGTTAGCTCAAGGCCTGGTTTCTTAGGAGAAGCGTCTCAACTGGGCGTCAGTGTTACGTTGATATAATTTTGACGCCATAAAAATACCGTTTTGTTAGCTCAGCGTGAGCAGTCGGTCCAACACAGACATTATCTCGCATTGCGTATGCGTTAATAACGTAAGCAAATATTTATTTTGAATTTGTATTGGTTTTGTGATTGTCGACCAGTGCTTTAAAGAACAAATAATGACTTTGTACAAAAAAAAAAACATTATAGCTTAGCTAAATGAAGAAGAAGAGGAAAAAGAAGCTATGGTTTAATGTTAAAATTAAAATCTTGGCTGATTTCAATGCTCTGTTGTTGGCTGTTGTCCGCCATTGCTTCAGTCGTTAACGTCACGTTGTAATCCAACTGCAGTTGATTTGGACGGCAGTTGTCGTTCAAGCTGAGCGTTCGATGACGTATGCTGTCAAACTCATAAATTGACCAATCAGAGGTAAACATTCGTTTCAAGCTGACGCCGACGTTTCCTAAGAAACCAGACCTATAGACATACCAATTAATGCAATCAATTATTTTAAATTCTCCTGCAAATATCGTAATTAAAAAAAAACAATTATGACATCTTCTACATAATGTATCATTTTATTTTATTTATATTTTTAATATTATTTCTATTTGAAAAGACAGTTGTTTTTAATAACATGAAATAATGATTTCCCCTACCGTAAGGAATAAAACTCTTTTAGGTACATAGTAGCTGCCTGTGAGTTTGTTTTAAAATAAAAAAGAAAAAAAAAGAACAAAGAAAGAATTGAATTACAATTTGTTATAAATTGGATTGGGTAATACGCCCTAAAAATGATCCACAAATTGAAAAATTTATTAATGAAAAACGGAATGATCTAGCAATATACGATTCGCTGATTTGCCACGTTATTCTTAGGAATGCAAAGAATTTCTTCGCATCAAAATTGATAATCAGTTACAATTTTCGTCAACAGATGGTTTGGCTGCCTGAAAACTGCAAAACGATGTTTTGAACATAACCGTTATTTGCAGCAACAACGTGACTTAGTCTGGGAGGGAGGAATTTCTACTAAACAGACGCCTGTGTAAATATTTTAAGCAACGTGATCCGGCAAGCAGCCGAAAAAATTGAGTTATAATTTTTCCAATCAGCACAACCCTATCAGCTGACGAACTTTGTAACGAATTTACTAAGTAAATGAAAGAAAAATCTGATTTTTTTTAGCGAAACGCAGCAAATAGTATATTTCTAAGTAAATTTTCAAATCGCAGGCACATAATGTTCATTTTACGTTAGATATATGATTCAAGATGTTTCTATCAATACGATTTGATTTCAGGTCTCTGCAGCATTATCAAAACTTGCATGGCACTAGATAGAGGAATGATTCCCCCAAACTACAAATGGAGCACACCAAACTCCCTCTGTCAGGAAATGGTCGAAGGCAAAGTAAAAGTTGTGACGGAACCAATGCCTGTCGTCTCACAGTATATCCCTGTAAACTCCTTCGGCTTAGCTGGCACAATAGTGCAAATCCTCCTCAGACAGCATTCGAAAACTTTAGAAGACAGTCCGAATAAAAAATCTCCCCTTCCAAGGTTTCTGCTGTATTCTGGAACAGTGGAGAGCGCTGTACAATATGTGTTCGATTACGTGAAAGATAATCCAAACTTGCCGGATGAATTTTTTGCTCTCCTTCACAAGTTATCATTCTGCCCAACTCTCCTGAAACCTATAAGGGGTTATGCTCTTTACAAAGATCAATCTAATCCCGTAACAAGTATGAAGGTATAGTTAATGTTTTATTACCTATTTAAATACTATTTACCTTATAATCCGAAGATTTTGTAAAAATTTGAGTTGTTTTCTCCCCTGTAAACAAACTATATTTCCTCAACTTCAAATACCCTTTTGCTGATATTGGTAGCTGTGGGTTCTTCTCACCGTGGCCTTCCGTATATTTTATTTTATAACCGTCGTTGAACAGCCGACCCAATTTTCAGTTTACGACTACTAATGTTCAACTCCGTAGCTTTGTAATTTTGAACCCAATCCAGAAGACAAGGGAACACCTGGATCAAGTATTGGGAGGCTGAAATTTTGCCTTTAATAAGGACTTTTTTATGGAACTAACCCACATTTAGGTTAACATGAAGAGGAAAACAGTGAAAACCACCCAAGGCTAGTCTCACAGCAAGGGGACGTAAAAATACATGAAAGGTCTATCCAAAATTAGAATATTAAACGATCGGTCATCGACCTACATAGTTGGAATTCTAATCGCAGTTTTGAGTTTTCATCTGATAAAAGCATTCAACTCGGCTCTCCATCTACCGAGTTTGTATTCTAAGTTATTCCATATTTTGAAAATTCTAATAATTTATTTATAATACTTTTAGTATCCCACTTTTTCCCAATGTTTGGAAATCTATTCTTATTTAATATTTTAAGCCCTGGAGATTCCCGCAAAATTTCAAGCACCTAATTCTTATCACTCTTTTTTTATTATCCTGTTCATGCTTGTTCCTTTGCCCCGATTGGTTAAGCCATTTTACACGTGTTTATATAATTACTTCCCAACTGCCATCTGGTGTTTAGGCATTTAGAAAGGTTCTCTTATAGAGAACCGAAACTATAGTGTGTCCATTTCTGTACATTATTTGTGAGTTATTTTCGTTATTTCTTGTTTTGATCTACATAGCACGAAGTATACTTTGTCTTTCTTTTTCGACTCTTAATATTAATTTTAAGTTTTCCGTATTTCGCCAAATCTTGAGAACTTTGTATGAGAATCGAATAATTTTTGCACAAAATTGTAAAATTTGTTTTACCAAAGATAATTTCATGCAAAAAGTAATTTTTAATAATTATTTTCGTTATACATTTAAATAAAGTATCCGTGTAATAGTTTCATAAATACTTTTTAATAAAGTACGTGTGCAATAATTTCACACTTAAAATTTAATAAAGTATTTTTTTTCTCTCTATAACAGCTGTGTTTGCCAAATAAAAGACCCGTATGGTACATATATACCGGTATGGGATGTCAATGGCAAGGTATGGGTCTACAGCTTATGGTATTCGATGCATACGCAAAATCTTTGCGACGATGTGCTGAAGTCTTGAAACCTTTCGGGATTGACCTTTTTAAAGATTTGTCTCCTGATACGAATGAAATGGAAATATCGAGAAGAGGTATCAGCCCCGTCACTTCAATTACAGCGATTCAAGTAAGTATTTCAATTAAATACATGGAAAATATTATACAGAAGTGGAATATAAATTGAAGGGAATCTATTAAAAAAAAATAGTGCGTGGAGTCCCTTCGCGCGGAAGAAGTTTAACTTCGCAACCTGCGACGTTAATTGTAGAAGAATCAGCAGTCGTAGAAGGATCACTAGTTCTATTCAACGACTCTTTTTCCTGCTCCGCTCACCTTCGTGCTCTGTAATCACGGTAATATTGTGCATTTTTCCCTCGTGGACCTCTAGAACCAGTGGAAGTACTTGTGGTTGCCTCATCGTCTCGCCCTGGAAAATGTATTTGTATTAATAATGTATGTGAATGCGTCATAATGTAATTTCAGAAGAGAAAACCTAACAATCAATTGATATTCACAAGAGACGTACCTTGACATAACCTTAAATCCGTCGCATTGTCCGTGGGATTGTTTTCACTCATTTTTTACAATTGTTATCCACTAAATTTGAAAATAAAAAATACTACCCTATTAAATTATATGTGTATCAAAACAAACTAAAAAAATATTTATAGAAAAACAATACTTTTATGACTTTTATTATTTTTATGCTAGTGAGAACCAAAACAATATGGAAATGAATGAGGGAAAAATGGATCCTACCACGTGATTTCCCGGCCAATAAAAATGCAGCGTTAAACGTTTAACGCAACCTTGTTGGAAGACGCATAAGAAGTATATATAACTTCAAAAATTACACAAGTTTTGTGAAAGCAAATCTTGTATTTTAAATTACATAAGTTTTGTAACAAAGAAAAGTACACGGTGGTAATTGTTTTGGAAAATGCACAAACTAAATACTAATGAGAAAATATGTTCAATTTTATTGCAAAAGACAACTTTGTAAAACATTTAAATTTAAAATTAAAGAAGGAAAAGGTATGAATACTTACTGTACGAATCCTTATTATAAAACTAAAAAAAAATAACAATAATGTAAGACTCATAATGATACCGGGTCTCTCAAAAGTGTTCACCTATTTAGAATGTCAATTTAAGAAGCACAAGAAGGGGTAGAAATTTACGGTGTTTCTTAGAACAACGGAGTTTTCTTTTACCCTGAATTTCGAAGTTACTTACTAAATTCGCCGACAGATTTCATTGCTAATATTTATAATTTATAACCTTCATTGAACAGCTGACCCAATTTTTAGATTTACGATTACTAATGTTCAACTCCGTATCCTTGTAAATTTGAATCCAATCCAGAAGACAAGGAACTCCTGGATCAAGTAATGGGAGAGAAATTTGCCTCCGTGGAGGACTTTCTTACAAAACTAAACCACGATAACCTCCCACGGTTAGCCTGGCGGTAAGCGGACTCTATCCATACCAGTGAGGATATTTTACTGCTTTATGTCAGCACCGTGATCGGTGTAAGCCGGATGCGGAGCTCGCATCGACCAGTCATCACTGGGCTAAAAAAATAAAAAATAAAAATAAATAAATAAAAAAATATATATATAAAAAAAATTGCCTAGGTACAAAGTTAATTGACGTGACGCCTGATCAAATATTAAAAATTGATCAGTCTGTCATGCAAGAGAAAACTTTGTGTTATAGTTTTACCAGTCAACAGCACCATCTGCTGGCAAACTTTTAAAAAAATTTTAAGTAAAAATATTTCGTTTCTGAAGCAGTACACAACAAATATTTCGAACGTTTCTATCTTCTTCTTCCCATTTCTTTGTTAATTTTGGGAATCGTTGATCATTTTCGGGACACCGAGTAAAAAATTACTGACATTACATAACCAAGATCATACATAACAAAAAACTATAAGGTTCAGCTTAGTATAATACTTGACATTATGAACACTAACGGAAAAAATCACTCAGAATTTTTTTAAAATCAATTTATATTTATTAATACGTAATTTGATAATGCAACAATTTAGAATATAAAATGAAATTTAAATAAATGGAAAAAGGTAGAACCTTACGAATTAATGCGTATATGGTAAAAATAAGCTCTTTGAATGGTATTTTCTTGAATGTTTCTTTATGCCCTCAAGTTACAATAACTTCTTTTATTTAAACAAATTTAAGTTGAACTTTTAATAGTTGGTCTATGTACAATTATTAAATAAAATAATTTTAAAAAACTATGATATTGCATGCAAAAAATAAAATATAAAATATTGAGAATCGAGTCGTTATAGTCTCAATAACTTTTTAAAGACAGCAGATGAGAAGTCGTTGGTTTATTTGATGTTATTACTGTCATTAGAAAACCACCGACCTACGCCGGAACTTTGTTTGAGTAAGAGGATAGACTTCTTAATTAGGACTGGGCGATATAAGAAATTTTATATCGTGATGCATCGTCAGTTTTGCATCGCGATATAGAGATGTATCGCGATATAGTATTTTTGAATTTCATTTACTTGTAAGGCACAAAAAGTAGGATTTCTATCAAAACTTCATACTCAGATTGATTTAAATCAATTTATGAATTTGAAGATATATATGTTTTGCTAATGAAAGATATTAATATTATATTTTCTAAAAATGATCGCGCAAATAACAAAAGATTTCTTAGCTTAAAAATAAATAATAAAAAAATAAATAAAATTGAAATTTATCAATATAATATTTACCTAACAATATAGAAAGAAAATTTAAAAAATAAGTTCGTTAAAAATTATTTGCAAGCTTAAAACAAAGTGCTAAATAAATTATAAAAAAAAACGCTTTTAAAACAACCCTATTTTTTATCATTATTATTTCACATAAATAATTAAGTTAAATTGAATAATTACCGAGTTCTGAACGAAAAAACAAAGTAAGGCTCAATTTCTTGAAAATAAAAACAAAAGAATTATGATATTCTATAATATATTTAACTGACATTATTGAAAGAAAATTAAAAAACACGATTCTACCCTTTAATAAAACGAAATGCTAAATGATTAAAAAAGAAAAAAAAGAAAAGAAGTCGCAGACCTTACTAATTTTTTTGAATAAACAAAGTTGATTGACTTATGTCCAAATCCAAAAGAGGAAAAACAAGTTTTGTTATAATTTTATTTATAAAAACAACTAAAGATTTATAAATTTAAAATCAGTAATAAAAACCCATTAAATTATTAGAAGTTTCATCCAAAAAGTTTTTAATAAATAAGTAAAAAATAGCCTTAATAGCCTTAATAAAGTAAAAAATAGCCTTAAAAATTTAATTACTTTGTAATTTAATTCTTTATAGGCACCTTAAATTAGTAATTAGTTTATGGGCACCTTAAATTGTATAAAATCAATAATGTAAAAAATTACTTAAGCATGTTTTTTCATATTTAAAAATATAAAAAAATTTTCGTTTTAAGGAAAATAATTTACCTAATTAATTAAGAAACACTTCTTTTTATATTCTTTTCAATAATAGATTACGTTCAGAACGAGGTGACGACGGCGATCACAAAGTCAGTCCCACTGAAAATAATCTACAAGAAACCAGTGGCGTACGCAAGGGAGGGGTTTAGGGGTTTAAACTCCCCCCTTGAGCTCAGACAAAATGGTAAAATTGAAAATTTTAGTAGAAATTATGCAGGCTATTATTTTTTAAGACTATATATTTTTATTTGCCTTATGCCTACTTTTTTTTTCTCACGGTATTTCTCAGAACACAGAAAAAACATTTACTATAATAGGGTTGTACTTTTGAAACCAAATTCACCTGATACTGTTACGGACTGGCTTCTTTCCGTCCTGCCAGTCGCGATAGTTTTCGAGACTGGCTTTCATTCGCGAAGTCTTTACGCGATGATTCTGGAATTTTACACGTTCTGTCGTGTTTGAGACAATTCGAGAATTTTGGATTTGCGATGAAAATTTATATAAAAGAGGGAACGGAGAACAGTGGAGTTAGTCAGACTAAAAGTTATCTCTGCCGTTTGTCTTTCGGAGCTCGTTGCTAAATCTGATTTGTTTTGTCTTAACAAAAAGTTCATTCAATCGCCGAACCCGTCGTCGTTGTTATTTCGACTAGTGAAGAAATCAGTAACAATACTATTGAAGATACTGAGCTCGTTGAAGTTATTCATTCCAGATCGAAGCCTTAAGATCGTAGCATAGCGGATATTTCTGTGCCAATATATATATTTACTGTTCTTGGATCTTTAGGATGTCAAAACGCAAGAATTTAACAATATTTAATTATTTTGAGAACGCGACCAGAAATTAGTGAGGTGACAGCATCTAGTACCAATGTAAGTTTTTCTGTTGAACAGAAATGTGACACTTCCGTTGAAGAAAACGTTTCTAGCACATCAAAATCTGATGAATGTGAAAGTGGCCCGCAAAGTGTTACTTCCCACCCATATAACATTGGACTTTTTTCAGAAGATATTACATGCGAGAAGATATTACATTATGTTCTTATACTTAAAAAATCAAATCAAAATTTAACTAAACAATGTTGTCTAAATAAAAAGTCAAATTATCTAGCTGTCTAAATTAGGGACATAATAGTGCTTTATTACATACTCGAATTTCTTTTAGTAGTTTCAGAAAATCATGAACACCCCCCTTGAAAAAATTCTGCGTACGCCACTGCAAGAAACGATATCAAGTCGCGACAAAGAAAAAGAAAAAACTATGAGGCGCGAAAACGAACATGCTAGATCACCATATATGTTCTCAAAACTGATTCTGATTCTACAGCTCAATGTTCGTTTCAACATAATGAAACGAACATCGTCTTCCGCAGCGCGAATTGGCATCGGAACGTAAGAGAAGATCCTTGCATCGCTATATCGTATATCACTATATCGTATATCGCTATATCGTTCGTCTTCTTTCCTCGACGGCTTAAATCAGATTTCTGATGCATCACCGGGAACAAAAGTCGCAGTATTGGCCTGCCGATATAGGCGTTAAATCGATATACACGATATATCGATTTATAGACCAGTCCTATTCTTAATCATCGCCCTAAATATATACTTTCTAGAATCCCTGTAGAAACTGAAGTAAAATAGTGGGATCCTACATAGTGGGATCCTAAATTCAAATTTAAAAAAGGAAAACAAATCACCCTATAACTGACGAATTAAACGTGAGAAAAATAGGTTTAAAAATATCTGGATTTAATCTCATCTATTTTATCGCCATATAAATATTTCAAGTATTCCTAAGAATCGTCTTCCAAATTCTCTCTGTTTTTCTCAATGGAAATTAAATAATCTCAATGCTGATTCGTTAAATTTTGATAACACTTTTAGCTTTTCCCCACTTAAATATAATAATTTCCTATTCCTAATGTGTATTTTTTCTTCCATTTTCATCCTCTATATCAGGGCTGTCCAACTGCAAAGAGCCCATGGGCCAAAATTCCGGTCACTGATCACCTCTCTGGACGCAGTTTGAAAAAGTTGAACAATAACCTCTTACCTCTTATACAATAACAATTAATAGTTGAATTATTAATTATAAAACAATGGAACAGAAGGATTATAAAACAATTTGCTTATATTTTAATGGGAAAACTGAGGCCTATCAGCCTGAATAACATGTTGGCGGGCCGCCAGTTGGACAGACCTGCTCTATATGAAGGATGGTAATTATTTAACACTCTGAATAACATCGAATTCTTGGCCCACATAGCGTGAAAAATTAAGTAATCAGGTTTTTGAGTATTGTGAGAGAAAATGCCATTTAAAATTTTCGTAAAGCCAATAGTATGCGCACCAACACAAAAAATGCTTCCATTTCTTTGAATTTCACTTAATACTTTAATATTCGCAAATACGCTTGCTTGTAAACTACGTAAGAAAAAAAATTTAAAATAGTATCCTTCCTTAAAAGTATTTAATTCATAAACACTTTAAAGTAATTAATGAAAAATTTGAAATTGTAAACAGATAGCTATGACAGATTTATTGACTTCCTTGGGCATTAAACCAGATGGAATAATTGGCCATAGCACTGGAGAATGTGCTTCTGCCTATGGGGACGGAAGTGCTACTTTAGAGGAAACTTTGCTTGTAGCGTATTTCAGGTGCTTTTCAGCTGAGCAATCAAATCTAGAGCATGGAGCAATGGCGGCCGTTGGTATGTAATAACATAAAATCTCAGTTTCTATTTAGTGTATCTAAAAATTGAGTTGATTGCGTAACTATAAGAATTTAATGATCACAAAGAAAATGAATAAATAGTATATTAGATTTAAATTCAATGAGGAATGATGTTTATCGGTAAGTAATAGTATATATGTTACGGTGAAACACCGAAATCTGGAGAATGTCAACATTCACCGGTGAATGTCAACAATCACATAGTCGCTTCGGTGAATGTCCGAAATATTTGTTATATCCAATTCTATATTAATTTATTCGTTAATATTATTATATTTATTTGAAATATTTATATTTATTTGATATATTTATATTTATTCCATATTTTAATACTTACTGACGATAGATTAGAAGAAACATCAGTGTTTGGAGTATCGGGCAAATATATACCGGGCAATGGCACTTGACCTTAAAAAAACATCAGTGTAGGGTATACCGGGAAAATGTATCCCGGGCAGTGGCACTTGACCTTAAAAAAACATCAGTGTAGGGTATACCGGGCAAATGTATACCGGGCAGTGGCACTTGACCTTAAAGCAAAACATCAGTGTAGGGTTTAAATATCGAATAAATGTAATTATATCCACGAATAAATTCATATCAAATCGAATGTAATAAATATTTCACACATTCACCAAAGCATATCTGTGATTGTCGACATACACCGGTGAGGGTCCGAATGTACAAGAATGTAATGAAATATTCGACCTTTCACCGACGTATTTGGTGTTTATCGACATTCACCGGTGAAAGTCTACAACCACCGATTTTGATCTTTCGCCGTGACACACACACACACACACACACACACACATATATATATATATATATAATATACTGAATATAAAATATATAAAGTTTTTCAAAAAATTGAAAAATATTAAATAAATTTAAAGCTATAAAGTAAATTAATTATAGCATAATAAACTTTTAAAGTTGTGGTCTGAAAGCAATACTTTTTAGGAAATTTTATTTATAATATTGTGAGTAAGATTAATGAGACAAGAAATAAAAACTTTTCAAAGTTATATTATGTCATTTATATTTTAGTGGTAAACTGATTTCTTTCCTCTTTTCAGAAAGGAAATTCTTTAATTTGCAACTTTTAATTTTTTCCCAGTTGCAAATTTTAATTTTAATTTTTCTCTCAATTTTAAAATATCTACAAAATTTTTTAACTACTAAAAAAATTTACTTTGTATGACAAAATAGTTTATTAAATGTTTAGGTTAAATTAGTTTTGACTTAAAAGTACTTTTAAAAATAAAATATATATTTTGACAAGCTAAGTTTAATTATTATATTATAATTTCATGTTTTATTTGATTTTCTTATGATTGTACTTATTTTTTGTTAAAATAATGAAACTAAATCAAAAATATTTAATATTACCATAGTATTTTAAAATAAAAACAGAATTAATAGTCAGGTCTTTATTTAGTGAATTGTTATGCATTAAACAAATAAACCTAAATATATTACTGTGTATGATTTTATGTACTGAAAATACGTACAATTTAATGGCAGATTTACATAACAAAAGTATATATTTTTGCTTGAATTTCATAACAAATCGTATGAAGCCGTTATAATAGTGAAAAAAGCAGCGATTTTGTAACATAAATTGATTCCTTATTTATTAAATGACTCTTAAGTCTAGTAAGTACTAAATTCTGAAAATATTCTTTCCAGAATAAACGGTTTCCTGAAAAATCACTTATTTTGAAGAAACTTTGAAAACAATTGTAAGCAAATAAAATAGCTTTATTTTTGTAATGATGTCAGAAAATATTCAAAATACTTTCAAAAAAGAAAATTATTTTTTGTTATCACGCGTTTTTGAAACGTTCTGCTAAAGACATAAACATGAGGATATCATTTTAGAATGTTTTATTTCTTTATTTTCTATCAAGCATTAACAATTTGCCAAATATTTATTTTTCATTTCTTTTCTTTTAAGAAAAAATCAAGACTTACCAATTTATGTTTATTGTAAAAATTCTTATCTATTAAAGTACTTATTTGCAAAAGAAATAGAATTTAGTTAACCTAGCAGCAACATTTTTACAGTTCTAAATGTAAAATCCAGTGCTAGTTTATATTTCTGTAAAAGCATGTTTTTAAAAAGATTTACAATAACGCTTGTAATAAATTAATTTTGGAATAGCTGTATACATACTATATTTGAGAAATAAACATAAACATTTTATTATAAAAAAAGAAAACTTAAGTTTAAAAATTTTCTAACCACAATACAATGATGTTTATTAGGAAATTATCAGCTGTTTTACTTCATTAGTCTTACATGCTACGTTTAATTCTTCTGCATGTTTATATTCTTTCTAAGCTGGCATAAATGCGTATCAAATTGCGATATAAATTACTAACATTTTGTGTGCAGAAAATTTAATATTACCGCAAAAATTAATTTTGCAGTAATAATTATCTGATTAAAGTGATTCCATGATTTTAAGATAATTAATACTGTAAACGGTAATTATTGCTGTATTTCTGATTGAAACACACTGTGAAAAATTCCAGATAATATTACAGTATAAATTACCGTGTACTACTGCAATATCCATTTAACGCTAAAGTTTAATTTTTTCGTAAAATATCATATCATAATTTTTATNACTTTTTCCCCAAAAAAGTAACGAAAGTACAAGTAAAAGTACTAAATTTAAAAAGTAACGAAGTACAAGTAAAAGTACGTACTTTTTACTTGTACCGGCGGAACAAGTAACGAAAGTAAAAGTACTGCCATATATGGTTAGTTCTACGGTGGATACCGGCTGGTAAGGTTACTTTTGCTTCTGGTCAATAAGATCGAAGGTATGTGGGCGATCATAAAAAGGGACTATAAAAAAAATGTCACATCCAGTTTGGTACCACGGACGCCATTTCGATTCGTATTTCGCCGAATTTATGTGGCGATGGAGGTACACAGATTCTATTCATGATAAATTTAGACAGTATCTAACTGCTATTATAGAATTCTGTGCACCTAAATCTAAGAATATTCAAGCTTAATGAAAAAGTGTTTTTTTTCTTTCTGTGCTTACTCCATTAATTTTTGTTTCAATTCAAAATTCATTTTATTGTGTTAATTAATTTTGCTTATATTGGGTGCATTACAAATTTATAACGTTTTGCCGCCATTCCTGTTACCACAGTGTTCCGCACAAACAGGAATGGCGCTAAACATAAGTCGCCAATTTCGCCAAGGGGCACCCTCAAGTATATTTTTACCCATAAACTATTAAAGATCAGACTTGGCTAATGAGCTGGAATCCTTACCCCGATAGTATATTAGTGTGATGATTTTAAAAAAAACATGAATTAAATTTTCGGAAATACTTACGCAAATTTCGTACGAAAATCAATCGATGGAAAAGTTTGGATTTGAAAAATCTTAAGTTTTTTAATATTTTAATTTTAAAATATACATTATGATTCTCATTAATCACTTGGTTGTCAAAATGCCCAGTTCTGCTATCAGCGAAAATTTATTTTTCTATTCATAGAAAAATTTTATTTAAATTGTTGTGAAAAATATCAATATATATTGATAGAATTTCAGAATTCAAGAAAAGGAAGGAAGACCTAAACTGATTTTCTTTAGGATTGGTATGGGGAAAAAATGGCAATTTTTTTTAAATCTTTCATAATATTCTTTAAGGTGACAGAAAAATGGTTGTTACAGTGAAAGAAAGTGTTTGCACTGAGTAAGCGGAGTGTTATAGACAGTTTTCTCCGTGTGTGCAGTTTATTGTGTTCATTAATTTTAACCATTTCAAAGTGATCTGTTTTTACTTCAGGTTTAAGTTGGGAAGAGACAATGAAGCGGTGCCCAAAAGATGTCTTTGCTGCATGTCATAATGCCAATGACTCTACAACGATATCCGGAGCAGAGGATGCCGTGAAGAATTTTGCAAAAAAGTTGAAAGAAGAAAGAATTTTCGTTAGAGTTTTTGACTCGTATGGCTGTGCTTTACATTGCCCACTTATTAAACCAGCTTTGAAACTTCTGAGAGAGAAACTTCTTCAAGTAAGTGGAAAAATCATCTTAAAAAATGCTTCAGAAAAATTCTTTAAACGAAAATATTCATCTGCATTACTAAACTGGATATCACGAGTCTGTTTAGATTAAAAATACAGCTTAAAAAATGAAAGAAGTTGGAAATTTTGGAAGCGTATTGAACCATTGCAGCATTTAAGTTTGTGACAACTTCAGTACAGTTTAAATTTAAACCCCTGTATCGCATGAAATAATATTTCCTGAGACTCATGATTCTGGGTTTAACTTGGAGGTAAACATGCTTCAATTTATAATTATTTTATGAGTTGGTCCAAAGTTCAGTATGAGTCAATGTTGAACTTTCATCGAATGAGATTGACAATTTTGTCAGAATTCCCTAGAAAACGCATGGCACCCTGTCAAGAGCAGCACTTTGTTGCTTTCGTTTTTAGACCATTCCGTTCAAATTCAATTTCATTTTATCTTTTTTCTGAACTTTTAAGACAGAATATTTAGTAATATAAAAAATATTCCTTATATTGGGTGTATAACATTAAAACATCTTGTGGAGTAAGGTTCCGATTTTTAATTCTATGGATCTATTCAAAATTCATTTAAGATATATCAGTTTAAAACCTAAATACTAAAGTAAAAAAGAAAGAAGGAAAAGAAAAAAAAAACATTTTCTTATCCCAGATTTTCCAAAATGTAGGATCATAAATCAGTTTCAATAAATATCAGTTTCAATCAATAAATCAGTTCAGTTAAACTATTTAATATTTTCTTAAACATTTAACTGTTAATGGATCGATATTCTACGATAACAACCCAAAAGTAATGTCATCCTTTTTTTAAAACAAAACACACTGAAAATTGTTTATATTCTATAAATTTTACGTAATTTTAAAGGTTAAAGGTTTGCCTATAGTTCCTGAACTTGCCTTTACTTCACGCAAACCTGAACAATTTATAGTAAAAAAAGTTTTTGATTGGAGCCCTCAGGACAATAGAAGAGGACCGAGACTTAAAAATACTTGTCACATGATGATTGTAAGTAAATTGAATTTAAAAAAATTTGAAAGAGATGGGGAGAGGCAAAATATCTGGCCACAAATGGAGTGAGATAGAAGCCCCTTGCTTCAAATCAAAGTAAAGAGCAATATATATATTTGCATGATTGCCAAACTGACTGGACATTTTTGTATGTACTGGGGCAATTTTTGAATGCCTCTGTGCAACTAGCTCCTTTTTACGTACTTACTAAAGCGTTGAATATATTTTTCTCTCGTCGTTGAAGTAGAATCCTTGAGAGGCAGAGTAAGCTAGTATCTGTTTTACAACTGCTAGAACAAGAAATACTGTTGCTCCAACAGCAGTAAAACATATATTACTAGCAGTGCACTAGTGAAACGATAAAGCGCAGACAGGTGTTTCAACAATGGAAAATAATATTGTTGAACAAGGGCGTTAGAATTCTATCAAACAGTCATCATGTAGACATTCTATAGGAGTTGGTAACCAGTAACTACCACCTATTCCCCATTAAAAATATTTCGTCGAGAAAAAATTCATGAGATAAAAGGTGAATTTGGAACATGATGGCGATAACCAAATTGGTGGTTATTTAAAATGATAGACGTTCCTTTTTAATGTTCAACTTTCAACCTTTGAAACCTTCGTTCAGCCTTTTTCTGAAACAAATAGGTCGACCTTTCATTTCCGTATCCAACAAAGACTATTGAAACTGTCTCCGCCGTTTACTTAATTATTTATTACGTATGTGAATGAGGTGAATGTGATAAACCTCTATAAAAAAAAATTTCAATCAAATTAGGTCTTCACGAATCCTAAAGAGAGGTCATCCAAATGGATTAGTAGTTCCTACCCAGAGAATGAATGGGGAACAGAAGAATGCAAGTATGCTGGAGCAGACTATTTCACTCATAACATGATAGCACCGGTTCTATTCAGAGATGCTATGCGTAAAATACCATCAGATGCGATCACAATTGAAATAGGACCTCATCATCTGTTGCAACCTATCATGAGACGAGATCTCGGATCAGGAAGCAGTTACATCGGTCTGATGAGACGCAATGATCCAGATAATGCGAAATTCTTCTTTGAAGCAATCGGAAAGTAAGTTCACATGGTATTTTCCATCTTTTGACCAACGTTACATTCAATATTCCAAATAGTTCAATATTTCAATAGTAATTCAAAACTTTGACGTTTTTTTGCTTCGCTAGTGTTATTGATGTCAGCAGTTTAGTTTTAGTTGCGTTGTTAGATTTAGCGTGAAGTTTAAAATCTTCACTTGATTACTTTGTATTTTCTTATTACTTTGTAATTAGAACTTATACTCAAACGGGGTAGTTAAAATTAAGCTGACTGTACTTAGATACTCTTAGCGTTGATTCTGCACTTTTGGAAAAATCGGTTAAGCGATGAACCATAATATTGTTGCTTTGAAATTTTACCATGCTTCAATTTAAGTAGAACCATTGTACTGTGACCATTGTATCAAGAATAAAAACAATTTAAGTAAAACCATTGTACTGTGACCATTGTATCAAGTATAAAAAGGGTTTAAATTACCACCGTATTAAGGTTGCATAAAATTGGACCATTAAAGTTCAAATCATGCTCCGAAATTTCTATTAGTGTACGTACTGGATTTGAATGAAGCTTCATCTTGAGAATCATGTGGTCGAAAACAGAAAAATGAACAGATGAGGCTGAATTGTTAAATAAATATACATTTATACGTCGGTACCGTTCTGGTAGTATGTCTTAAGGTTATTGTTGCTCCACATAGCATGCACATAGAGCACACAGATGTGTAAACTATAAAAAATTTCTAGTATTTTTCAATTTTTGAACTATACTCCGTTGCAGGTTAAGAAAGACTATTACAGTATAGGATTAAAGCAATCCTCCGTGACTGTATGTAGTTCGGATTTATTTTGTTATCAGATCATACAAATAGATTTTAAAACAATTTGAAAGCTCTTAAAAGTTAAACACGTTGGAAAGAAAGCTAATTCGTGCTATATTTTACGATACATATCTTAGAATTATTAAAAGAAGGTAATAGTTTCGTAGTCTTACTGAAATCCTCGACATAGTGACATATTTCGATAGATAAGGAGAATGATTTTCAAAAAAGAAACAATTATATGACGTTTCAAAAACTTTGGGTTTGATTGGTTCATTGAAATGGCTCGTCTTATGCTATCATGCCTTCAACAAATCAAATGCGAGATAAGGAATTTCAAACTTTTGTTTTTATGTAGAAGAAAATCGTCAGCAAGGAGCAATCTTTATTATTCTTTTATCAGTTTCTTTAAATGCAAATATAAAGATGTATAGTTGTTACGATATTTTTATCATTTTTATTAATTCTTATTCCTTGTTAATTGATTATTCAATAAGTTTCATTTTCCTCATTTCACATAATTTAAGAAAGCAAGCAAAAAGCAGGTTTTGCAACATCATTTTAAGAGTTGGCGACGTTGATATGCGTTCGCGCTGAGAGCTTGGCATCCATTTGGCGTACATTTATCTACAAACAAACTCTCTCCATAGAGATAATGGTTCTTTCCTAACTTGCTACAGAGTCTTGACAGCGTGGTCTACACATAATAAATAGATTTCAAACTTTTATTTAACTGCATTCATTATAATTGGAGCTACTAGAACTTGAATTTCATTTTATTATCATTGTTTAAGAAATTTTACTGAATAAGCATTTGAATTACACTTCACTTACCATCACTATTGCACGCCACACCGGCCCTCAACAAGGCATTATGGTCTGGGGTGCCATTTCCTTTGACAGTTGGACCCCTTTGGTCGTCATTAGAGGTACACTTACTGCACAGATGTACGTCGACGACATCCTAAGACCTGTTTTGCTACCGTTCCTTTTGCAGCGCCCTTGGCTGGTTTTTCAGCAAGGCAATGCCAGACCACATACGGCACGTGTTGCTATGAACTGTCTGCAAGCTTGTCAAACTCTTCCTTGGCCTGCCAGATCACCAGATCTCTCTCCCATCGAGCATGTCTGGGATATGATGGGAAGGCGATTGCATCTGGCACGGAATGTTGATGACCTCGTTCGACAATTGGATCGAATTTGTCAGGAAATACCGCAAGAGACCATCCGGGAGCTTTATCGGTCTATGCCACGCCGTGTGGCAGCTTGTATCCAGGCTAGATGTGGGTCAGCACCTTATTGAACTTGTTACTGTAACTCTGCAATAAATTATTCAATTGTTCTGAAATTTTAATCATTTACTATTCGGTACATTGTCTTCCTACTCACCAATTTCCGTTCAATCGGACAACTAATTCTTGGTGCGTCGATTTTTTTGTTATAGAGTGTATTTGATATTTTTTTTAATTCCACCCTCCCCCTATTTGCTTAGAATGTATCAAGAAGGAATGGATCCAAAGGTTGAGAACTTATATCCTCCAGTTCAATTCCCAGTTCCTCGAGGAGTTCCATTAATATCAGATTTGATTCGATGGAACTACTCTATGTCGTTTGATGTTCCCAAATGGTCTCGATCAGCAGGAACATCCAATCACATATTCGCTCTAGACAAAGAAGACAGCTACCTGATGGACCATTTCATTGATGGAAGAGCACTCTTTCCGGCTGCTGGATATATATACCTTGCTTGGGACATGTTAGCCTCAAAGCTCCAAAAGAATTTTAATGAAATGCCAGTAATTATAGAAAACTTCAAAATACACCGAGCAACAGTTATTACTCAGAAAAGTAAGTATCCTGAAATTTTAACTAAATCATCTATTTACGAGTTTTCCCTTCTACATTTCTTCCTTTCTGTCTGTTAGTCCTTGTAAATTTTCATAAATGTTTCCTACATATATGTCTGCGACGGAATACTTATATGCATTTTTGATAATTGCTTAATTAATCAAATTGTTATTTCATATTTTACAGCGAATTAGATAAAAAAAAAACTAACTGAATCAATTGCTGTTTTTACTTAAGGTATTAGCCATAAATTATTTAATAATTCTAATTATGTCTTATAATTTTCTAAGTAGCCTTCTTATAGCTTTTTTTATATACAAAATAAAGTCAATACAATTTAAAAACAATGACTTTGGATAAAGTTGGGTATTTTTCAAAGTTCTTTTTTTAGCGAATTTGATCTGTCCCTACCTCCTCCGATGATTTTTTCAAAAAATGCTCAATTTTCAGCGTACTACTATAATGTTTCAGTTCATATAATACATACATAAATCAAAATTAATTCAGAACTAAATATATCAAGAATGCATGATAAATGTATTATAACCCGCTCAAGTTTAATATGATTTTTATAACATTCAGAATAGCTTTTACAATTTGACACATTTATTCATTTCTAAATTGATATCTTAATGAATAGTCTAAATTTTCACTTAATAATTTTTCTTATCTGCTCAAAGCAAAAAATATGCATGCAAATCGTCTACTTCTCAAAACAATGTTTTGTATAATATTCACAATAAATAATGTTGAAGATTTCAAGTATTTAGTCTTACAGTTCAATTTTTGAATAAATTTTATGATATTCATTGGGGTAATCAAATATATGCGATTGCAAATGTTAAATGCTAGTCTCAGTTTTGAATAAATTTTATGATATTTATTGTGCTAATTTAACATAAACGGTAGTAAATTTTAAATTTTTTTAAATCTTAAAATAATCTTTTAATCTTATTGGGTTAATTTTATAATATGCATTGGTTCAATCAAAAATAACGATTTAAATTTCACAGGTATGGTAAAATTCTCTTTCACCGTCTTCAGTGATAGTGGTAACTTTGAAATAATTGAAAGCAATCAATTAGTGGCCAGTGGTAGAGTTTATGAGTGGGAAAAAGCTACTTTCTTGGAGCCAGAGCCAACTTATGAGAGCAGTACTGATGCCGTGGATGCATCAGATATATACAATGAGCTGAAAATGGTTGGCTACGAGTACAAACAAGCTTTTCAAGCACTCTCCGAGATTAACTTGGATGGTAAATATCTAAACTCTACTTTTTGGAGTATTTTACATAATTTATAAAACATCTCCACTAAAATTTATCGTCATATTTTTTCTCTTCTGAATTATCTTTTTTTTCCCTCTTTCTATTAAAAGTCAGCAGGTTTTTCGAGAACACTTCTTAAATTCGTTTTGAAGACTTAACTTCCCTTTTAAAATGCGTCGACTAGCCTGATCTTATTGCCATTATCGTGCATTGGTCTCGACAAATAATTGTTTGGCAATACTTTACTTCTCTGAAGTAAATGCGAGCTAATATGTGAAACATTCTAAACAAAATAAATTCTGACGTAAGTTTGACGAGGCCTACTTTCTAAACCTATGTTTTTCAGAAATTTACGGAATTCATTCTTAAAATTTTTTTTAATTAAAAAGTAAAAGGTTTAAAAAGTGTGAGAAATACAGTTAGATCTTTTTCAGATTGTCTTAAAAATGTTTGGAATTGATTTTTTTTTTTGAGGGGGAGGGAGATGCTTCAAAATTAACTTATAATGTATATGTCACGGCGAAAGACCGAAATCGGTGGTTGCTGACTTTCACCGGTGAATGTCGACAAACACCAACTACGTCGGTGAAATATCGAATATTTCATTACATTCTTGTACATTCGGACCCTCACCGGTGAATGTCGACAATCACAGATATGCTTTGGTGAATGCCCGAAATATTTATTACACTCGATTTGATATGAATTTATTCGTGGATATAATTACATTCATTCGATATTTTAATCCTACGCTGATGTTTTTTTAAGGTTAAGTGCCACTGTCCGGTATACATTTGCCCGGTATACCCTACACTGATGTTTTTTTAAGGTTAAGTGCCACTGCCCGGTATACATTTCCCGGTATACCCTACCCTGATGTTTTTTTAAGGTCAAGTGCCATTGCCCGGTATATATATTTGCCCGATACACCAAACACTGATGTTTCTTCTAATCTATCCTCAGTAAGTATTAAAATATAGAATAGATATAAATATATCAAATAAATACAATAGTATTAACGAATAAATTAATATAAAGTTAGATATAACAAGTATTTCGGACATTCACCAAAGCGACTATGTGATTGTTGACATTCACCGGTGAGAGTCAGAAATAAGGGTATTTAGCAAATATTTCTTACTTACACCAAGCGACTACGTGAACGTTGACATTCACCGGTGAATGACGACATTCTCCAGATTTCGGTGTTTCACCGTAACATATATATATCGTGTATTATATATATCCATTTCGTGTTATCTGGCAAGCACGAGATGATGGCTCGTTCTCACTAACTTCAACCTCACTGCCAGCTAATCTCTCGATTGCCAGTTAGTATTCTAGAGTGATTTTTGTATCACTCACGGGAGTTAAAACAACCAGATAGATGTTAAGTTGGTTTGCTGTTTATCTCAACAAAATTCGCCGTTAAATCTGAATTTGCATTATGATTTTAATTCGATATTTAACATAGATATGAGATTCAGCATCTGTTTCCTAAATGGCTCAATTTGAAAAAGCAATAACACTTTTTAACGTATTCACCTTATATTCTTTCACCGAAATGTATTTGTACTAGATGACCTGGTCCAAACAAAGTGGGCTTTAAATGCTTGCACTCAATAAACACAAAATGGATAAACTGAATCCATATAGCCGTTTTAATGCTATAGAGGCAAACAAACAAAATAATTACCTTTGAAGCTCGGAATGTAGTTGGATAATAGCAGGACGGTAGGAAAAGTCATAAATTGAGGGTAAAAGTAACAGACATAATATTTCAATCACAAACCAAAATTTGAACTTATCTAGAAAGAAATTATCGGGATTGTATTGAAATAGATAAAAAAACGAAACTAATATCCATTAAAAAATGGATAGAAAAAAAAACAAAATTAAATCGTTTATTTTAAATCTCTTCAATTCGAAATGTTAAAGTTTCTATCGTTCATTGAGTAAAACTTAATAAAAGAGCCTAGTACACTTTTTCAAAAATATTCTTCAATCGTTAAAAATTATTTATTTAAAAATAAATTAAACTAAAACCTCGTCTTAATGAGCTTACTTTTCTGAGTGAAGCACATTTTTCTGAATTTTGGATCTGAAAAAGTTGACTTCATAAACTGAGTAAAAAGTCAAAAATGAATGAGATTTAAATAAGAAAAAGTATAAATGTAATTAAATATGTTACTTTACAGAGTTCATTCAATTTTTTTCAGGTACACAGGGTCTTCTCAAATGGGAAGATCGTTGGATACCATTTTTGGATGCCTTGCTGCTTTTCTTTGGCTTAATAAATAACAAGGGAGATTTCCAATTACCCACAGGGGCTTTGTCCTTCAAAATTGACCCCAGACTTTTGTATGAAAAGGTTGATGAAAACAGTGAAAACTTCGAAATCAGTAAGAATTGCATAATTTTCTTTGAATCATTTCTCTCCCATTAATATTGTACTGTAAAATAATTTCTATCTTTTTACACTTTCAACCTAAAGGAAAACATGCGAAAGATATGGAGTAGAAAGAAAATTAGGCGTATAATTTTTTTTACCCATATTATCATTTTGATTTATAAATAATATTACATTGAAATGGTAAATTATAACTAGGTTTAGTATCAACTATAAATTTAGTTTAGCGAAATTTCTAGTCAAGGTAAGGACATTTTTATTTCCTTGCCGTTAAAAGAATATAGATTTTGATCCTTAACAATTTATTGGTACCTTCAACCAGCATTACACATTCAGCGAACAGTTTGAGTCTATATATTTCCTTCATTCATATTTAAAGCGAGTTACATTTCTGTTCTTTAATAAAATGTTATCCGTTTAATAGTTTGATTTCATTAACAGTGTTTATAATACATTTTTTTCTGTAAGGTTGAATTTCTATGCAATTTATTTTTATTAAATGTCTTACTGAATATTTTTATGCTGGTATTGTCTTTCTTTTTGCTGAAAGAAAAAGTTAATCTTATTTTGTTCCAAAGTTATGAATTTACTGAAAGTATAAAAATTCATTAACACTAACACTGTATTTCTTGGGATCATAGTTGTTCATCACAGTTATCAAAATAATGAAAATCATCAATATGGTGAATGCTTTTCATGATTAACTGTTGCATTTAATTAAAACATATAAATAAAAATATTCATTATTCCATTTCAGAAATACCAGTGAATTATAATCAAGATACTAAAATATGCCGTTCAGCAGGCATTGAAATCATAAATTTGCAAACTGATCCAGCACCACATCGTCCAAAGGACGATCAACCAACTCTCGAAGAATACAAATTTATTCCGTACATCAGTGATTTCACCCCAGGTAAAGATTTGGAATCAAAACTGTTGAAATACATGTGGGCCTGCAACAGTTTAATCGATGACATTGGAATAAAACAAAAGACTGATGTTCGATCCTACAAATTTAACATCGGATCTAACCATGATTTCCGTTACGATAATTGTAGATTGTCTGCACCAGAACAAAATGGTTTGTTGAGGTGTCTCGAAGACATTGCCGGTAGCTCTTTTGACTTGAAAAACAAGAAAAAAGAACTTCTAATTCAATTCCGCAAAGAAGCTAGTCGAGATTTTTTGAATACCATAATGGCAACGGAATATCCCTTGAGAATAATGATGGAAATTTTAACTGAAAATACATTTGGAAAGTTAAATGCCTTGGAGGTAAATAGCTCAGGGTTCGCAGTGGTGCTACCAAAAATTATCGATCTCATGCAGAAATATTCTCACATGAAGTTTAGAAGCAGTATCCTAATCCATTCAGCAAGCGTTGAAGTGGATGTAAATGAACTGAGCGCTAGCAACATACACTCCCAACCTTTGGATGTCCTATCTAATTATGCCAAAGAAAAAGACCAAGACGTCGTAATAGGCTCATTTCTGGGTGGTTCTCTGAAAGAGTTGCAAAGTTGTGTTCAATCGCTGGCCTCAATCGTGAAGCCTGAAGGATTTGTTCTATTTTATGTGAAAGAAAAGCACTTGCCCGCTGAAAATCTGTTGTTGAAATTATACGGAGAAGATATTCCAATTCATACACGCTTGACAACTGAAAAAGTTTTTCAAGACAACAACCTGTTGGTGGTAAGCAAAATATTCGACACTTTCAGTACTGCTGTGTACTTACTTCGAGCACCGGGACTTCACCCTTCCTATAAAGTAATAAAAGTGACTGAGGATAACAAATACAGATGGGTAGATGATGTAAAGAAGTTATTGGCTGCTAGTGAAACGGAATTACTGTGGCTAGTAGCTGAAGATACTCCTGTTAATGGCATTGTCGGAATGGTAAATTGCTTAAAACAGGAACCTGGAGGAGAAAGAGTAAAGTGCGTAAAAACTTTCTTTTTAATCTGTACTATATTTAGTCTATTCAAAATTATTTAATACATGCTTAAAGTTAAAACTCTTTTTTATAGCCTCGACAGCTTAAAAATTATGTAAACTCATTTAAAGAGGAATCAATTTTTTTAAAGTGCAACACTATTTTAAGACTTCAACTGTTTAAGGGTAAAGTAATCACAGTAACACGGTAAAACTTTCAAACAATGAAAAAAACAATTACTGTCTTTTTTAATAGTTTATCGTTTAAAGAAAACTGTGCTAAATATTGAATTGATTATAGTAAAAATGTAAAAGATACACAATACGCGGCAGAGTGCAGGGCGTATGCGGAATTCATATCCACCAGCCATCCCTAGGATTCGAACCCGGCTCACCTCATTGAAAGGCAAACTTTCCATCCTCTGAGTCTCTACGGCTCAGGACTTCATATTAGAGTAGATTCTTTGTCACTAAAACAACAACGAATAAAGAGTAAATCAGTCACATAGCTTTCGACTTTAAACTAAAGAATTCCACTTGCATGTTGTCTGTAGTGATGACTGTGTCTGTATTGATAGCTTTAGTATGGGGCTGTTGAGAGTTTAATTAAAGGCTCCCCTTTCTGAAATGCGCTTTTTCTTGTTTCCATAGCAGCAGATAGTCCCAGATCCGGTATCGATAAGAGTTCTTTAGCTAGACAGACAGTATTTAAAACATAAAGTTTTTCACGCGTACAACTCTTCAGCCTTACTAATATCAATCAATGAAATGTTTAAGTGCTGTTTTAAGTGCTGTTTATTTTTTTTTTCATTTACTTTTATCATCATTATTAGATGTATATTCATCTCTCCGAAGAGTGGAGAAAAAAAACCTCCTGCCTTCAGTTTTGATCATGCACTATATAAAGGTCTTTTGGCTGGAAATTTAACTATGAATATCTGGCGTGATGGATCTTGGGGTTCATTTAAACATGTCCTTTTGGGAAATCGTGAGTAATCTTTTGTTCTTTCTTCTGTAGCATATTTGAAAAATTCACGTCTCTTTTACAACCAAACTATTATATATTTGAAAAAAAAAATCGCACACTGTTGCGTATTAATAATCCGAATTCGTTTAAAAATCAAACTCTACAATTTCAAGTTAATACCAAATCGACCGTTCATGCACACTTTGAAGCGTGTAGTAAAATCTTAACTTAAATAAATGAGAATACTTACACCAAGATTAGATGCTGCAAATTACTTCAGAAAGCAAAGGTTATTGTTTACATTTCGAGCAGGAAAAGACGGGAGTTTGCTTTCGTCTCGCACGATGCTAAACATTCTGCAGAAACAGAAATGAGTTAATATTAAAGACATGTATGCTTTTAGTTGTATAATGACAACAATGGCAAAATTCTGTTGTTGCTGTTTGTAATCCCAGATGATGTAGCTTAGCTACAGCATCTCCCTAAAACCAAAAACCTCCAAAAAGTCTAAGAACCAATACGGATCCCTTAAAATCTCGGGAACAGTCAAATCCAAGCATTTGAGAATAAGGTTATAAGGTTGAGAGAGGCCGGTTGCACCAATGAAACTCCAGAAAGCGTCTCTCCATGTTGAAAGGTAAGAGATATGAAACGTGCCACTAAACAAAAACGTGAGAGAACCGTCTGCCTTTTTTCTCGAAATATTGAGCTGATGACACCATCGAGATCTTTTTCCAAAGTACCAGCGATGATTAAGTGAAACTCTCCAAAGAGCATTTAATTCCATCCCTTTGATTGAGGAGATTTCTGTGAAGCCATGCAGAATGTCAGCAGAAGCAGTTTTGATCAAACTATCCGCAATTTCATTATCTATAAAACAAGTGCCTATCATAAAGCAGAACAACAAGCCGAACTAGAATATTCAGGCTTGTCATGTCCCCTACCAGTCATCCATTGAGAGAAGTACGGTGTGGAAGCACAGCTGTCTGATAAAATCTACATGTCCTTTAAGGCAAGTTCCGTGGACATGTTAATATAGTGAAATCTCTTATTGATTACTGCAAATTCAGGTGTCAGAATTTTTGATCCTAAGAGAAATTGTACCATAAGGAGTTTCAATATGCACCCCACTTCCAGAAACACCACCGTCTCCCCTGCTACCATCAGTGTACCCTTTTAGTGACGAATGCGAAAGTCTTGCATTATTTAATGAGTCTAGTAAATTCAGGTAAATCAGTCCCTTTACACACCTTAATCAGGAGTTCAGTTTAGAAATTTATTCGCTTTAGGTCAGATTTAAAACAAGAAAAAGGCTTCAAGGAATGGGATTCCACATCATCAGAAAAAAAAGTTCCATCTCTCTTGCCAAGGAAAGAGGACTATATTTCTTTAAACGCTTATTGTTATGCCAAGAGTGAAGAAAGACAGAAATTCGATGCTGCTCATCGTATATATCTTGTTGTAATATTTAGTAAGAAAGTAGTTTCTTTTCAAAGAAAGAGGCGGCAAATCACCCTCATACAGTACAATATTGTTAGGACAGCTGTTTCGGATGCCAGTAATAATTCTTGCTGCACTTAGCTGCACTCGTTCAAGTTTTTTTAAGTTGGCTTCAGATGCACAAAAAGGAATTTGGAAGCCATAATCCAAAACTAGTCTGATCAGTGAGAATAGGTTGTTCTCTGGGAATCGGCTTCTGCAACCCAGTCTCGACCAGAACTATATTTAAGAATGTTAAGTATTTTTCTACGTTTAGCTCCTTGAGCCTCTATGGTAAAGTTCTAGTATACTCTAAACGCTTAGCGCTATTTCAAAAATTCCACCAACGCCGAATTGACGCGTTGACGCCAAAGTGCCCATACTTTATATCGTAACTTCATGCAAAATTTTTTACAGTATGTAACTAAAGAGAAATAAGTCTTTGCAGGCAAAACTTTGTAATTCTCAATTTCTCAATTACTACGCTTCTTTTGTAGAAATCTACAGGTAGATTTCTACAAAATCCACACACCAAATGCTAAAACAATCTCTTAACAAAAACACATCCAAGCACTTTTGTAGTTTTATAAACATTTATCAGAATAATTTTTTTTATAATTTATCCGATTTTTTTTCTAAGCATTTATCACAATTTTTACATTATATTTATAATAATCATAGATAGCTAATAATAAAATCGTTATAATAAACCGCAATATATTTTAAAAATTAATTAAATAGTCGAGAAACATTTTAGAGTTAAACTGTTAAATATATTTTTTCTCTCATATTTTTGATTTAAAGAACATTTAGGTTCAAGGTTAAAAAAAATAATTGCTCAACAGCGGTGATCATTCTCCAGTTAGCTACTACTTTTAAATGATTTATAATCTAATAGATTTGAAATGAAATCTTTTGTATTTATTTTTTTCAAGACCTAAAAAGCTGAAATTAAGACTGCAATTTGCTCACCGAAAAATATTTAAAACTAAGAATAATTTTATCAAATAGCAATTTAATTGCGTTAGAATAATTTTATGTATGGAATTGTGCTTTTTTTTTAAATCGTGTTACAAACAGTGTAAAACTGTGACATACAGAACATCAATTAAAAAATGCATCGCAATTATCATGAAAATACTTTAAATGTATATCATATAGTGTTCATCTTTCTTAAATTTAAGCAGCGTAAAAAATGTAAACAGATTTTTATCAATGGGATATAATACCACATTATAATTAAACAAATTTATTTTTCAAGTAATAAACTGTATTTTTCATTTCTACTCTAAAAAATTCCGAATCAAATTACAGTATAAGGTATCGGAACTTGGAGGGCAACCTTCGTAAAATATCATTTTTCGCTAAAATTCATTTTTACCGTAAAATATTATACCATAATTTTTATTTTAATATTTGTTTAATTAGAATGATTGTTACTGTGAATTGTTGCTGTAAAAATTGAAATTTAAAAATTGCTGTGAAATTTACGTATCTGAATTTTAAAAATTTCGGTAAATATAGATATCAAGGTAAAAAGTACCGGCACCCTGAGTACCGGTACTTTTCACAGTAATTTTATCTGTAATTTTTACACTGTATACGTAAGCAGAATTAGTGAAACACAGTTATAACAAATGAAAAGTATCAACTTTTCATTATTTGATCTTTTTTTTTTCCAAATGTATCATATTGCGTTCATCTTTTTTAAATATAACAGCGTAAAAAAAAGAAAAAGCAATTTTGAAAATTACTTAAAATATTGCATTTTTATTATATGAAGAAATGTTTGCACATGCCTAATTGTGTCAGTAACGTAAACAGAATTAGACCATCAAAAACAGTTATAACAAAAGAAATGTATATGAATATTTTTTAAATTCTATTTTATACGTGCATAAGAAAGGAAAACACAGTTTTTTTAAATACATAAAATATCACATTTAAATTATATTCAGACATGGAAATGCTTTTAAATGTATCAAATTGTGTCTATACGTAAGCAACACTAGACAGCGAAATATTGCAAAAAATGTACCACAGTGTTTAGTTGCATAAAAACGTATTTAAATGTTATGTTCATAAGTGTTATTACTTACAGAGAAGCAACGTAAAACAGTGGATCATAGTTATGTGAATTGTATGAAGTATAGAGATTTATCCTCGTTCGAATGGATTGAATCTCACGTGAAATACGCTGAGATGAAAGATAGTAAACTTGTGCACATTTACTATTCAGCTTTGAATTTCAAAGACGTTATGTTGGCTACGGGAAGACTCTCCATCGGAACTTCCAAATCAAGTAAATCACTATTCGATTGTCACTTTTTTAAACTATTTTAAGTTTTTAAAATAAACCGATATTTCACTTGATTGTTAACATAAATATTCAAGTATTCATACATTTTATTTAGAACTTAGAACAAATCGTTCGAAATGCATGATGTAGGTTTGACTAATTTAAACTGGCTCGTAAAAACATTGCTGTTCTAAATATAGGAATTTTTAAAAGATAAAAATGCTTTGTCCAATTGCATTGTCTAGATCAAAGCTTTTAAAAAAAATAGTAATATTCACAATAATAAGTTGAGTATATATANATAGATACAAGATTACGCTCAGCACTGTAAAATTATAATTTAAAAGAAATCAAATTTTCAAAAATAAACAGCAATCGCTGCTTCTAAATTAGAGGTGCAACATACAAAAATTTGGTATTTAGCCTATACTGCTGAACGCAGAATATTAATTTCAGGCGAATAATGGAAGAAGCGTCTGCCGAAGACAAAACTTAATTCGTTTTCATCCATATTTCTTGTATTCCCCCCTGGGAAGGGTTTAGTCGATTAGCAAAACAATAATGAAGATAAACAAATTTGTGAAGGGTCCGTTTAAAAGAAAAATTTCCTTCTAAACAGACCCCTGATAAGATAAACGCATCGTGCTGTGTTCATTAAAATTAATTGAAAACTCTAACATGAAATGCTTACCTAGCACTTGTGTTTTCAATAAATTCCAATGTCTTAGCCAGTGCAAGATAGGGAACTTTTTCATTACGTTTCCAACAAGCATCTTCAATGGGATGATATTTACTTTTTGAAGGGTCATAATGAACTCCAGAGGAACTATTCAAGAAATGTACAAAACATTATTAAATAAGAAAATTAAAAAATGTTACTTCGAAATAACTTAATAAGAGGGTTCCTACAGAGCAGGGTTCATGATTTTTTTGATTTAAATAGGATTTTTTTTTTAAAATTCAAATACACTTTGATTTATTATTAAAAAAACTTTAGAAATGTTTAATCAAAATTAAATTAATATTAAAACTATATTACAACAACATTTACAGAAGCTCTAACTACCTAAAACAATTTTTCATTATAATACATAGCCTTGAATGCATAGCAAACATTTTGAAACAAATGTATGATTGAAATTTAAAGAGTGGTTGAAATAGAGAATTCGTTTAAATTTAACCTCAAGCATTAGAAATATACTTTTTCCACCAATAAAATATACTGCAGATTTTAACTCTATGCTTTTTCAATCAAAAGGTAGAAATTTAATTAGCATTTGTATTTTTGTTGTGATAAAAATTCATGTTTATTAATTGCTTTCTACAGCTATGCAAGTCAGCATTAAATGTTAAGACAGTATTAAATGTTATTACTGTCATAAATGTTATTACAAATTCATAACGAGATTACTTTAATCTCTACTTTCAATCTCAAGAATCAAAAGATTTTTAAAAATGTAATTTCAAACGTGTTGGAATTTAACATACACTAAGAAGGAAAGTAATTTTGTAAACTAAAATTAATTAATGCAGCAATTTATTTAAAATAAATCTTAAAACTAAGAAAAGAAATATATAAAAGTATCAATAATTTAAAACACGGTTTTTTAACTTTTATAATCAATACATATCAAAAATATTAGTTGATTTAAATCAAGTTCATTTAAATCAACAAATCCTGGTACATTATAATGCCATTTCAATGTTTCCAATTCATCACGCGTGGTCCATAATAATGATATTTCTACACATTAATTGGTTACTTGGCTTATTTATCACAGTCTATTGACCGCTCATAAGCCATTAAAAGACGTTTTTTTTTTTTGTTTTTTTTTTTTGAAGATTACAGTGATTTTACAGGTGTCCCGAAATTCACGCAAGAAATAATTTTGATAGAAAATGCAGATTTTCAAATAAAAGTTGTGATTTTGAATTTATTCATATAATTTCGGATGCAGAAGTATGAAAATAGTACTTCTCAATGACTTCTACTGTTTTGCTGGTACATACACATGCATTCTGCTATCGAATTTTTCTAACACCGTTAAGTGTCTCGATTTCGTTGATACAGAGCTTAATTTCCTTCGGCGTTAACCTTTAGCAGAAATAAAAAAAATCGCTGTCGGAGAAAAAGGACAAAAGTTCCAACTGCTGATAACCACATGACCAGGATGGCTAGTTTTGATCACCAAAACGAGAAATTACACACCTGATTCAACCTCGCACAAAATATTGTTTAAGAACAAAAACGCGTTGTTGTTTTTCGTAACGCTGCCTTTCTAAATAAACTTAAATTTCAGTTGTTCTTTTTCCACATTTTCTTGCATAACTAACGCAAATATAAATTGTATATTGGGACGGTATTAGTTGAAAGTATTTTTCCATTATATATGGTATTTTAAAAAGGAATTCTCTGTTTACCAAATTATTGATACGTCATTTTTTCTTTCCAACGGAATTAAAAACTGTTGAGTTTTCAGTTAACGGAAACGGTGATGATTCCGTTCTTGGCTTGGAGTTTTCTGGGAAAGATGAATCTGGTCGCAGAGTGGCCGGTGTCATAGCTAACAGAGGTATGGCTACATCAACATCCGTGCATCCATCATGCTTAATTGAGGTTCCACACAATTGGAGCTTGGAAGAAGCTTCCACTGTTCCCGTCGTTTATGCTACAGGCTATTATGCACTCATCATAAGAGCTCAACTAAAACGAGGTGAAAAAGTTCTCATTCATTCTGGCACAGGTGGAGTTGGAATAGCAGCCATTAACATCGCCCTTGGATTAGGTTGTGAGGTGTTCACTACTGTTGGTATGTTTCATTTATTCCCTTTAATAATTTAATTTAGATACTTCCAAGTACTTTTAGGTAATAAAACCTGAATTTAGTTTTAAAACAACTAGAGGTTTTTAAAAGAAATATTGAATCTAGTTTTTCAAGATTATGTTTTCGTGGATTTAACAGTCGGCAGTCAATACTAGATTAAATAAAACCTCTACTCTGATAATGATTTAGTTTCCAATAGTCTACGTCAGTGTTTCCCAAAGTGTGGTACGCGTACCCCCAGGGGTACGGGAACAGTTTAGCGGGGGTACGCGTTCTTATGCGAAATATCTTGCAACAAACGAAAATTTTGAAATATTTTATTTAAAAACATGATAGCCATGAAAATGTATGATTATGTATTTTTCTATTGCCTATTTTTTGCAGAGTTAACAGTTAATAATTAGTGGTGTCAACAGCCAGTAGGGACCTTTGTGCAATATTTTTATAGTAAAAAATACATTCATTCTTTTATTAGTGGAACACAGCTTTATGGAAAATTTAGAAAGGGTACACAAAAGTCATAAGTTTGGGAAACTCTGGTCTAAGTCAGTGGTTCCCAAATAATTTTCCGTGTAACTCTAGGGTTCCGTGAAATTGAACGGTTTCCGTGAGCTAATACTTCTTATAACAATTGATAAGTTTTGAAACATCTAATTATATTAAGATCCAACCCATAATTCATAATTTATTAAATCTTTCGATTGCCTTTATGAAATTATTTCAAGTGAAATACTAATGAAATGGAAATGACATTAAGAAAAATTTGTAAATGCTAATAACAATATATTCAACAAATTCTGAAAAGAACAAGCATTTATAAAATATTGCATTAGCATTTTTTCTATCGCGCTTTTCAAATCAAACTAATATAGCAAAACACTTTAAAAAAGGAATGTTCCCTAATAACCATTTTCAACGTGTATAGCAGTTCTTTTAAGTTTCGATTTCGAAGTGAACCATAATTTGGCTTATTTTATTTATTTTCAGCTTATACACCAAAAACATTTCATAACTAGATCTAGTAAAAGGGCTGCAAATTTAACTGCCGGATATAAAAACTAATTTATGATTAAAATTTATAAAACGATGAAAAATCTTCAATCCGCTAAGTAAATATTTTAATAATAGTCTTATATAACAATATAATATAACGTTTACAATTAGCTTAATAAATTTTTTATATAAAATCGGGATTCCACCGAAAGAATTTTAATTATTTAGAAAAAAATTGGGAGCCTCTGGTCTCAGTACTATGAATTAATAAAAAAATTAATATGCATTACTTATGAAGAGATTTTGAAAAACCTGAATTTCGCATTTCAAAATTTTTAATCAGACAAAATGCCCAGTGTTTGAATTTCACATATGCTGTTCTTAATCTGATTTTTAAGAATACAATTCAGGATACTTAATAAAAATGTATATTTTTTATTTACTTTCATTTATAATTTTTTTATCTACTTCTTTTTTATTTCACTTTATTTGTAAATAAAATTTTTATATCATTTTGCTTATTTATTTATTATTTCGTTTTATTTACTTATTTGTTTTACAGGAAATGATGATAAAAGAAAATATTTAAGAAAAATTTTCCCACAAGTGAAAGAAGAAAACATTGGTTGTTCAAGGAATATTACCTTCGAAAATATGGTGATGAAAAGAACTAAGGGAAAAGGCAAGTATTATATAATTTGTATGGTCTATTTTTACTTTTCTCTAGTTGAAATTTGGTAATGGAAGCAATACTAAAGAGATGTTTGATGTAAAGAATTCACCTTTAGAAAAAGAGTGGTTCCTCCAACGTAGTTAACAAAAATCAGATTATTGCTCATAACAGTTATTTGTTTATTAAAAAAGGCTGTGAAATAAATACAGTGTGCAACAATTAGGAACCAACCTGAATAACTTTTGATCAAATTATCGAATTTTCACGTTCTAGAACTCAATCAAACTGGTTCGAGAGGGTGACCTCAAATATGCTGATTAATTACTACAGACGATATGTTAAGTTATGAAATCAGACACAAAAACGTACTTTTTCTGATTAAACATACTTTTCTTTCAACGGATTTCTGACCCCTAAAATATCAGGGGTAGCCGCAACCCGGAAAATATGGTCCCGATAGCTTGGTCAAAAGAGTGGTCCAAAGTTTGAACGAACCCCTTGTGTATTTCGCCTTATCTCGAGAACTCTTAAGGCCAGTTGAAAAATTTTGGCACACACTTATAATTTGTTTGCGCAAAGATAATTCCATACAAAAATAACTTTTAGTGAATATTTTTTTTATTATTTTATTTAATGAGAGTCAATAAACTTTGAAATGTAATCATTTTAACTCTTTTGAGTAATTTTTCATGGCCAAAATACGAGATTTAAGCGAAATCGGTCTAATAGTTCTTGAGAAATAAAATTTTTAAAAAAAGTCGTATCTTTCTATCCATTCGGTCAGATAATTGCATCAAAATAATAATTTTTAACACCTTTTTTTTTGTTGTTTTTAGGCAAGTTGAAAAACTTTTAAGGCAAGGTGAACAATTTGGCACACACTTATAATTTGTTTATGCAAAGATAACGCCATGCAAAAAATAACTTTTAGAATATTTGTTATTTTTTATTATTTTATTTAATAAGCGTCAAAAAAATTTTGAAATCTAAGGAACACAACTTTTTTTACCATTTTACAAAATGTAATTTTACATGGCAAAATACAAAATTTAAGCGGCATTCAAAATTTAGTTCCTGGGAAATCAAATTTTAAAAAAGTACATTTTTGCGTCTGATTCATCTGCACTAATTAATTAGCATATTTGAGAAAGTCCCCTCAAACCATTAACAGTGAGTCCTAGAGTGTGAAGATCCGATCATTATATCAAAAGTTATTCAGGGTAGTCCATTTCTTTAGCTCAACATATTCCTTTCAATTTGCTGTAAAAACCTGTTTCCACAGAGGTACCTTGGTACAAATATTAGTATTTATGTGATTAAAAAAACTCTTTTTTTTAATTTGTCTTAATTTTAAATATTATAGTTTTTTTTTAGTATTCATAGAGCATATTTCAGAAAATTATTAAAAAAAACATTCGCTACCTTACTATTTATTATCCTATTAAGATATTTGTATTGTGCTAAAATAACGATATAATAATAATTTTGAAAACTTGAGTAGAATGAAACTCTTTGATCAAGAGGTCCCTTCACGAAAACCGTAATCTCCAAAATATCCTTAAACTGCAAAAGGTTGAATATGCCTGTTCTAATGGTTTCATATGTTACCAATTATTTCAATGTAATTTACTTATAATTAGGTACATGTTTTCTCATTAGGTGTCGATGTCGTTTTGAACTCTCTTGCTGGTGATAAATTTTTAGCTAGTGTTCGCTGTGTGGCCAAGCATGGCAGGTTTATAGAAATAGGAAAATATGACTTGTCTTTGGACAGACAGCTAGGTAAGTGGCCGTAACATATCTATATCCGAAAAGTCACATATCTTTCTTCCATTTCGAAATTTTATAAAGAAGCCATTTTTTCCATTAAAAAAACTTGATCAAATAAATATCAATTATTTTCAAAACTCATGGCAGCTACAAATATTTCGACTCATTAACAAAATCAGGTCTCATTTAATGATTGTCAATACTTTCCTATATATCAACATTTTTGCTAAAAATATCCAAAACATGGGAAGAAAGAGTCAAATACCAAGATGCTATGCTTTTTTATTTTAAATATTGATAAATTGCATAACTTATTTCAAGAAAGTTAATCAAATTGTTGATCTAAGCTAAATAATAATCGATGTTATAGTTATTTGATGTTGTTCTATTTCATTAACATGCAACAAATTCATATTTACATGCTCTCTGTAGTGTTTGGATACGTAGAATGTAAATATTAGATTATACAAAAAGCTCCATGACGTCCAAAAAATCAAAGAAATTTATAATTGACTTATACTTTAAAAAGAAACAAAATAGACAATGAAAACTTGATTTGATTTTTAAAACAGATGTTTTTGCATCTGATATATGCAAGTGTTCCTTAATTTCCTCTACCAATGTGTAGTTTTAGAATCATCAGCAAAAAATATAAACATTAAGTCGCAAACTAATACTTCAACGAAGAAGAAACAGCAGCAGCCACTATACAAAGCTTCCTAACTCACCTGGGTTGGGGATGAACACCATTCTCCATGGTGGTTAGAGCAACCAACTACGATCAAAGTTTAATCCTTGACGGAGGCCAACGAACATTTCTCCCACTCTCTTCCACAGAACAAAGGCGTTATCGCATCCAAGTGATAAATTAATTTTAAGAATTTCAAGATGTGTTACGTGAAACTAAATTTTGTTTGACCACTCCCCCATTAAAAATAATATCCATAATTTTAACGCATAATACTTTCTGCTCCATGAAAACTTAATAACTTCGTTTTCCTCTATATTTAACCTTAACTGAAAGGAAGGGAAATGTGCTCAATCGTTACATTTCCACATTTGCATTACTGTCTCTGTTTTAATGTAACATGTTTTATGTGAATTCATCTTTGCAAATAGGGTTAAAACATTTTCTGGAGAACATATCCTTTCACGGTGTATTCCTTGATCAACTCTTTGATAGGAATGCTCACAATATTGAAGTTTTTAATCAGATCATACAGTTAATGAGAGAAGGCATCAAAAGTGGAATTGTAAAACCCTTGGACAGGAAAGTCTTCCAGAGAAATGAAGTGGAAAAAGCATTTAAATACATGGCTAAAGGAATCCACGTAGGCAAAGTGGTGTTGAAGGCAAGTTTTATTCCTTTCTTTCAATAATTGACTTTTTTTTTGTATCATTTCTTATTTTGTTCGTTTAATCACTTCAGCTGATTTAGGTCCCATTTTTTTCCTCCAACAAGAAGTAACGAAATTTTGCTCTCTTTTAATCGAAAAATTCTTTTAGAACTAGTGTAAAAGTTATTATTTTTTTTCCTTTTTATTAATTTCTCTTTTGAATCGTCAAAATTACATTAACATAAATCAAACATTTAGATACGAAAGAGTTTTTACTCAAAATAATGTCTGAAACTAAATCTAGTTCATTTCAATACATAATGACTATTCCGGACCGGTTCGCACCAAAAGTCCCACCAGCGCTGGCGAAAAATATCCTCAGTGGTAGATAGATGGATCATGGTTCAGAGTATCCTTGTCGTCAGGTTAACCGAGGGAGATTTTCCTCTCCCTGTAGCGCGAATTCGAGGGGAAAAAAGTCCTTCAAGAACTCAAATTTCTCCTAATACTTGATACAGGAGTTCCCTTGCCGTCTGGATCGGGCTCAAAATTGCAAGGCTACGGAGTTGAACATTGTAAGTCATAAACTCAAAATTGAGTCGGCTGTTCAACGATGGGGATAAAATAAAAAATAAAGCAGATAATGCCTCGAATATAAATCGAAATAATTCAACTTTACTGAGTGGAAAGTAAAATTTTGTTCAAGTAAATCAAAAATTGTAAAACATATTTTACTACATTTTAATATATCTCTTACGTGTTTCAGAGATTGTATTCTTACAGTAAAATCGTACTACTCTCCAACTAGCTAGATTGCTCAATTTTCATCTGAAGCTGTGTTTCTGCTGATAATACAGTTTTGAACTGTTTCTCAACCACTACAAACAAAATTTATCATCCATGAAAATTTCGTCCTCTTCCTGACTAACTAGAGGGAGCAAATTTCCTCTGGAGATCTGCGCTGAAGGACAATAAAAGTTTCAGTCATTTTATGACCGCTATAAGCAAAACTTCAATTTAGTGGACAAAAGAAATTTATCAGTATGAAAATTTCGACCATTATCCGACTAGCTAAAATGCTTAAATTTTGACAGGGGCTCTTTTCCTGTTGTCAAAAAAAGTTACACTTATTTTCTAAATGTTGCTATAAAGTTTCATTACCGTCGTAAACAAACTGACAGAAACAAAATTAAAAAGTAAAAAAGGCTAGAGAGAAATGCAAATTTTTAAAAACTACGTTTTCTAAGTGACTAAAAAGGAGACATTTATTTTATTATCGTCAGATGTAAAACGAAAAACGTCGTTATTTACCATCCAAAACTCTGCACACTTATAATGAAAATGATGAACCTTACGTTTTTATTTTATGTTTAAAGTAAAGAAATGAATAGATAAAAAAACAGTCTTTTGAGTCTACTTAATAAACTTAGTCTTTACAACACTTATTTCATCTTATTATTGTAATCAATTTTAATTATGTATAATCATAAGTATTGGTATAAGGATTTAATTCTCCTTTTTCTCCTTAGATACGTGATGAAGAACCTGATAAACGAGCAGTTCCAAAACTATTGACTTTGCCAGCCATTCCAAATACATATTTCTATCCAGCCAAAGTATATATCATCATCGGTGGTCTTGGGGGATTTGGCGTTGAAGTAACAAAATGGATCCTCAATCGAGGTGGCAGAAATGTCATACTCACATCGAGGTACGGGGCTAGAACTTCATATCAGCGTCTATGCTTGAGACGATGGAAAGGAATGGGTGCCAATGTTCAAGTACTCACACTGAATGCAGCGATACGAGATGAAGCTGAACAATTAGTTAAGGAAGCATCCAAAGTTGGCGCAGTTGGCGGAATATTCAATTCAGCTGTGGTAAAATAATTTACGAACATTCTAGTTTCAAATAAAGAGCGTCCCAAAATTTAGGTCAGATTTGAGTTTTTTGCCATTTGTGCTATTAAATTTCACCAACAAAAAAAACAGCCAGCCAGCTCATAGTTCAGTTTACACATTTCAGTTTTAAATAAAGAGCGTCCTAAAATTTAGGTCAGGTTTGAATTTTTTGCCATTGGTGCTATTAATTTTTAGAAAAAAAAATAAGCAACCTGCCAGCTCATAGTTCAGTTTACACATTTCAGTTTTAAATAAAGAGCGTCCTAAAATTTAGGTCAGGTTTGAATTTTTTGCCATTGGTGCTATTAAATTTTAGCAACAAAAAAAAGCAGCCTGCCAGCTGATAGTTCAGGATTATTAAAAAAAAAAGGAGCGGTGCACGAAACGAACAACACAATTCCATTGTTGGGCGATATTTCGAGCTTTATTGTGAAATTCCGTGGTCGTATTCAGTGATCAAAATTGTCTGCTCAGATCATTGGCTGTTGGACTTTATCCATTGGTCTTTTTGCAAGAAATCTAAAGTTTTATGCAAAGAAGTTCACGATCACCTAATCTTTAAAAAGGTTAATTGAGAACTATATCAACGATGTTTCTTGAAGCATAAGGTTTTATGCAAAAAGCCTACGATCACTCAATTTCTGAAATAAATTGAGTGCAGCAAAATGATGTTTTTAGAAATCAAAGGTTTATTCAAACTAGCCCAAAATCGCTCTATCTCTGAAAGATCAAGTTGAGCATTGTGAAAACGATGTTTGAAGTATAAGGTTTATGCAAAAAAAGTCCACGATCACTTAACCTTTAAAAATACAAATTGAGCGTTGTGCTAACGATATTTCTTGAAATATAAGGTCTATGCAAAAGACCACCATCACTTAATTTCTGAAATAGAAAACTGAGAACGTTGTTTGCTGAAGTATAACGTCTATGCAAATAAGTTCACTATTACTCAATAATTAAAGTAAGAAATTGAGTGCTATATCAACGAAATACAATTCAATTTACTCAAAAACAATCATCGGAAATTTTAACAAAAAGTGCGCAAAAAATGCCCTTTAATAATAATGATGTTGCACCATCCATAATTCCTACTATATGTTTTATAAATCAGTAAAACATTCATAATTTTTAATTAAAATTTACTGTTTCTTTTTTATCAAAATTAATTTCAGCTTAGATTCGAGAACAATGTTAACGAAAGCTTTTTCAGATTTTAAGAGTGCAGCGTGTTTTTTTCTTGAATTTAAAACGGTGGCATATAAGTAAAGAGCTTCTTAATGCTCTTTTTAAAAATATGGCAATTTAAAAAAAAATACATGTATTAATTATAGGTATTGAAAGATGCTTTCATGGAAACACAAACGCCGATGCAGTTTGAAGAAGTCTGTGCACCTAAAGCAATAGCAACAAGATATTTAGACGAATTCTCTAGAAAATATTGCCCTTCAATAGACTATTTTGTGTGCTTTTCTTCCATCAGTTGTGGTCGTGGTATTGCGGGTCAAACAAACTACGGCTATGCTAATTCCGTTATGGAGAGAGTGTGTGAGCGAAGAAGGCAAGATGGCCTCTCAGGTATATAAATAAAATTACGTGTTGAAACTTTTAACTTCTTTGAGCCGCTAAATGAAAAATTTAACGCAATTAATTTTAACTCTCTTTTCAATTTAAGTATATCGTAATTTTACAGTTTTTTTTGAAGAAAAAAATATTTAAAAAATCTTTAATCTTTTTTTTTAAATTAATAAATGGTTTACAATTTAAATATAATGATTTTAGGCTTTTTTTTTAACGAATAGTACTTTTTAAATGAATAACTTATTTTTGATTATACACTCTATAACAAAAAAATCGACGCACCATGAAGGAGTTGTCTGATTTTAACGAAAATTTGTGAATAGGTAGACAATGTACAGAATAATAAATGATTAAAATTTCAGAACAATTGAATAATTTATTGCAGAGTTACAGTAAAAAGTTCAATAAGGTGTTGGCCAGCCTCTAGCCTGGATACAAGCTGCCACACGGAGTGGCATAGACCGATAAAGCTCCCGGATGGTCTCTTGCGGTATTTCCTGCCAAATTCAATCCAATTGTCGAACGAGGTCATCAACATTCCGTGCCAGATGCAATCGCCTTCCCATCATATACCAGACATGCTCGATGGGAGAGAGATCTGGTGATCTGGAAGACTAAGGAAGAGTTTGATAAGCTTGCAGACAGTTCATAGCAACACGTGCCGTATGTGGTCTGGCATTGTCCTGCTGAAAAACCAGCCCAGGGTGCTGCAAAAGGAATGGAAGCAGAACAGGTCTTAGGATGTCATCGACGTACCGCTGTGCAGTAAGTGTACCTCTAATGACGACCAAAGGGGTCCGGCTGTCAAAGGAAATGTCACCCCAGACCATAATGCCTTGTTGAGGGCCGGTGTGGCGTGGAATAGGGAAGTCAGGATCCCCCTCTGCCCTGTACGTCTCCAAACACGTCTTCGATGATCGTCAGAACACAGTTGGAAGCGGGATTCGTCGCTAAAGACTATACGTCCCCAGTCGGCATCATTCCAGCCTGATCGAGCGTCGATTTTGCGTGTCATAGTGCGTTCTTGGTGCTTCGATTTTTTTGTTATAGAGTGTATAACTGATTTAAGAATGATCGTTTTTGCAGAGTAAAATGAAATCGTCACAGTTTGAGTTCGTCAAATAAAACTTAATCATAAAAGCGAAACCTGTTACATTACTCCCAATTTTAAGAAAATTCTGAACAATCCATTAAAGGGATCCATTGAATGTTGCTTCATTTCATTGAATGGAATCATTTTGTAGAATCTTACACGTGTACAGATACTATAACACTGATGATATGAAATGTTTTAACTTTAAAACGGAAAAAGAGCTTAAATATTTTTAAAAAAAATCATTAAATCTTTTAAAATATTCCCAACTTGGGGAGATTTTCTCCCTTTGATAAAAATCATTAAACTCAATGAAAAAACCTCAATTTGTAGCATAATTTTATGCTTTTAATAAATACAAAGTTAACGATTTTTTTTCAAATATTAAATTTATTTTATCGTAGATGCTTTTTATTCTCATCAAAACTTATTTTCTTTTTAAGGACGTAAAAGGCGCTGGTTAATGATGGGTAAAACTTAACCTAATAGTCGTGAATAATTGTTACAAACTCAAAATTCCTTAATAAAATCTTATTATTCGCTTAAAAACGCTATTAACATCAAAAAGCATTAGAAGAACAGCCTTAAATTTAGATACATGGCGAATATGTGAACGAAATTTTTTTTGCAGAACTGACGAATTATTTTCAGCAAATTTTTGTGCAGGTGAAAAGCACCTACAACTCTTTATTACGATATTATTATTATTATTATTATAATGCAAAAGATTTGAGTGTTTTTTTTTTCTCAAACACATACTTTTTAAATTTACGAAAATGATTCTCTGCTGCTTTAGGTCTTGCCATACAATGGGGAATCATTGGGGAGGTTGGCGGTGTACATCGTCACATGGGAGATAATGCTATGATTGCTGGCGTTGTTGCACAAAGCGTCAAGTCTTGCTTAGACACAATGGACTTATTTTGCCAGGAAGACCACCCTGTTGTATGCAGTTATATGGCAGCAACAACAGCTGTGAAAAAGGGAGATTCAGTTGATTTAATGGGCCAAATTACAAAAATATTGGGTAAGTCACTAAATGAATCTATATTATGAACAGTTAAGAAAAATTTGTTTTTATTGAATACTTTCATAAAAATTGTGAAATTATAAACTTTATTTTCATTGAATATAGATAAAGTTTTTTAAGCTAAACATACTGGTCGAATGTCTTGTCGCTTCATTTTATATTCGATGCTTCATCAACTTTAAAGACTAAAAAAATATAAAACTCTCTTCGAAACGTTCTCTTTGGGCTCTTTGTTTCCGAGTTTAAACTGAACTGTTTCGTAAATTTTAGAGTTATCAGTCGTCTGATGTTCCTATTTTTCTGCAGAATCTGCTTCAGTTTTTTCTCATCACGTTTTGTCAATCTCTCGGATTTAAGTAATTTTGATGTTGTAAAGTTAGTGCGATCTTCAGTTAAATATGCTTTTTATATTCATCCTTATCGCGTTTCAATTTAGTATTTTCATTTTTTTTAAATATCAGATACTATCGTGCCATTATGTTGTATTATCTGCCCTTTTTTAAAATCAATAATAGCTTTCGTTAATGAAATCATAAAACAAAAACAACCCATTTTACAAAGTTCAAACAACCATAAATTTGACTAATACATTCGTTTACTTTTATATCGACTTTGTTATTATCCCAATATGCGATCTACCTATCTAACAGGCAGCTATTTTATTTTTAAACAGTTGAGTTTTTTCTTTAAGTTTGCTATTTTAGTGTCTCTGCACGGTTTACATTTGTTCGGTATACCCTACCCTGATGTTTTTAAGGTCAAGTGTCACTGCCCGGAGCTACTGCACTGATGAAGACGTTAAGCGCCATTCAGCCATATTATTCTATAGTATTGCTACCTATTGTTCCATAAAGTAATTACACAGGTATATCTCATGTTGGGACAATACCTTAGCTGTTTTTAAAGTATGAGCAAATATTATCAATAATTGCAATTTAAAGAAAATGAAGAATAAAATAATTGTTTGGTGGCCAGTCATTTGGCCACTGTGCTCACACTCTTAGAAATATCTGTATAAGATTCAACTGCAATATGAAGCAAATTTATTTCAACGACCTTACAAATATGGTGTTACGTTTTGGCTATACGTCTATTAAAGCTGTATCACATTTAAATTGTTCATTTATATGCAAATGGATGATATATTCATTTGGTTTAACTGGGATTTTTTCCAAGTTAATTAATTTTCAATAAATTTGAGCTTACTATAGCTCAATAAGTAGCAATAATTTATGCTTTTCCTTTCTCCCAATCGATACATACCTGTATATTTCTTTTTTAAGTTAAGATAATATTTAAAAAATAATTTGTTTATTTTTCTTTGTTTTTCTCAACTGATATTTCAATCAATTTCGAAAATAGTGATGAAGATAGTAACGGCAAAAGAAGCAAAAATATTTAACTACTAAGACTTTCACTCTAATGCTTACTTCAGCTATATATTATTTTTTAATGGCACGTAACAAAACAACTGAACATAAAATATAATACAATTGACATCAAAAGTCGACATCTATGAATAACTCATTATATCTCTAAAATAAGTATATCGATGAATTCAAGAACTCAACTACAGCTATGTTTTGACAAGTCCATCTCAGTTAAGATTAAATAAGGGGCAAAGTGAGATAGAAGTGGCATTGATGCGTTTGGGGTACCACGTAGGGAGAAATATATACCAAGCACCTTCTTTGTGATTAAATAAAATTATTTATATCTATGGTGAAACACGAGTTTTGATGGCGAGATTATAGTAATTTTTGGCAACAGAATTATATTTCCATTTTACCCATAGGAAAATTCGCCTTAGATTTGTCCTTAAGAGATACCATAGGATATCCTTATGGGGTTTTGGTTATAGTAAAATTTTAACATACACTTTTGCCATATACGTACGGTAAATTTTTGTCAGACGTATATGGTAAAATTTTACTATAGCCAAAATCTCTTAGGGATATTCTATGGTATTTTTTATAAAGAAATTCTTTTCTTCATAAAACTGGGATTTGTTATAGTCAAGGATTAAATTTTTCCATTTGTGGCAACATTTCTTCACAGCCCTATGGAATGTCAACAAACAATTATACATGGGAAAATTTATGCATCTAAGAATGTGAAAAACTGAGGTTGGCAAAAGTAATAGTTTAAATTAATTCATAAAGAAATTTAATTTAATTCATCATTCGCGATCGCAACGCTCGAGTACGCCATCTATCGTGAGCCTGTAAATATCAGATATTAATTTATCACGTTTTCATTTAGTTTCATCCAAATCATCGGCCATGACGGACGCCATTTTCTTAGCAGCAAATAAAAATCAAAATTTCCCTAAGGAACAGCTGAAGAACTTGAAAAAACTAACCAGAACATGCCAAACATTGAAGCAGAACACGCCAAGCATTTGAATGCCAGTAGTTTCCAGTTT